AAAATCTTAATGAATTGTCCGTGCATAATAAGCATATATATATCTTCAGCCAGAACCTTACAAGATGGGTCAAACCACTGCCTTGTCCTTCAATAGAAAGTTCACTGAAAGCCAACCTGCCTCAATAGCCTGCATCATTGCTCATCTGACAGCTGTAAGTGTTAGTCCGAGCACCAACAATGCTTTGGGTCTCTTAACAAAAAATTACATGTCATGTAAGAAATAGATCTAGTTTATGAAAAAGTATTTCACAATACAATTAAAAGTGGACCTAGTCTAGCTTATGTGGCAATAAGAAAAAAAGACAAAGCCCACTCTTGGGTCTATTTTGGACTCAATTGTGAACCTATACAGTGCAATTATTTACTATTATTATATTTTTATTGATCGTTAGGTATTCTAGACTTAGTAATTTTAATTTATATTGGATAAATTTTAGATTTTTTAATTTGAGTTTGTTCATGTCATATAGACTTAAGTTTATTTATTTCTCACATACTCCTTCTATTTTGAAATATAAGGCATTTAAGGTTATTGCACATATATTAAGGAGACATTAATTAATGAATAAATTGACTAAATTAACCTTATTTACTCTAATCAAAACACTCCACACTTCCTTAATTTCAACACAATGAGGGTTTATTTAGAAAAAAATGCAAAAATTTGTCTTGATTTTTGAGCGCGTCTTATATTTCAAAAAAATTGAGAAATCTTTATACGCCTTATATTTTAAAATGGAGAGAGTATATAAAAAGAGACCCAAAGCATTTGTAGATTGTAGGTGCTCTTAGCACGAGAATTGGATTTGATCCATAATAGCAATGTCTGCCCGTCCTTCACAGCTTGCAGTAGTGCATCTAACAGAGATCTTGTCATGAGAGGAAAGTTGGGCACTGACAGTTCATTGGTTAATTTAAAGTTGCTTTTATGGAAAAGTTCATTTTGTATGGGCACTGACAGACGTTCATTGGTTAAGTTAAAGTTGCTTTTATGGAAAAGTTCATTTTGTATTTTGATTTTGGTACTGTTGGTCCAAATTGGTTAAAAAAATCATAGAAAAATAATAATGATTAGGTAAAAATCATATTTGGTCTTGAATGCAATGATACTTTTATATCTTTTATTTTATACATTCCTTTAATCTTATCTTTGATACCTCAAATTAAATTTCATCATATTATTGTTAAAGTTCATGGATATTTACGTGTGTTGTAGCCTGTAGGTATTTTGTTTGAGTCACGTTATAAAAATCATCAATTCAGATTAATTCATTTTGCTTTTTGGTACCGAGCGTGCCAATTTCGTGAAGTTCGGTCCTCGTAGACGTTTTG